ACACACACACACTCTCTCTCTCTCTCTCTCTCTCTCTCTCTAATATATATATATATATATATATATATATATATATATATATAGTTCGCATGTGTGTATTGAGCTCTGTAATGGACTTTTATTCAAACAAATCATGAATTTTTCAATAGACTATTTTTTAATAAATTCAAGTACAATGCTATGAGTGAGAATTGTCAGCTTTTAGATTTCCTGATGGAAGCATAGCTGCTTGATTTGCATTAAGCAATTCAGTAACCTTTGCAGGTTCTGAATACCATTGCTTCAAAACATAGGTCAAGTACGAAAATCCAGTATATTAATAGATGCAGTTTGGTAAGGCTGCACCTCAAATCCATGCCGGGAAAAAGCAAATCTGCCACTGGAAAACCTTGTCACGGTTTACAATTTCATTTTTGCCTTGGACCATGGAATTTGAAGCTCTAAAAATTGTGTAGATATGGCGGATTTGTGAAAAATTGAACATTCCGGAAAAATTGTTGTAAGACGGTCATTTTAAGGCTTAAAATCCTTTTTTTCTTATTTTTTTTATTTAGCTTCATGATTGTCAAGGTAGAGTAGATGGACCAATTTGCAGGTTTTCCATTGCGAAAAGTATATTTCCTGGCTGGATTTGAGGTGCGGTAGTCTTGTGGCTTTAGAAAATGCTTTCTTTTATTAATAGGAATCGCACCAAATGAGTGTTTGATTGTGCGAGTTGTCAGATGGGAGGGTGCTGGATTCTCCAACTCGCTCATTTTTTCAAATATTTTATTCTATTGGCTTGGTAGAAACTGACATTGAACTTCATAAAAAAAAAAGGTTTGTTAGAAACTTAGAATGGGTATAGTCTTTAGAGTAGTCTCTTGGTTATTGATTGAATGGTTTTTGTGCCAACAGTCTAAGCTGAATTTTTATTTGCAGGTTATGATAACTGCCTCTATCAGTCGACAGGGTATGTCTCAAACTATATCCATTTGAATCTTGAAATCATCCCTGCTCTTTTTATTTCTTAATTGTTTACAGCTAGCCGGCGTCTTCACTTGCTCTTTCCCTTATTTGTCATTTTGAGTAACCATACTGAATCAACTATGTACAGTGGTTACCCTGCCAGTAATTCGACAGCAGCGACTCAAAGCTCTTCAGCTATATCCTATGCTCCCACGCCTTTTGGAATTTGGGCACTAATTCTGGTTTGTTTCCATATATTTAACATGGGATAGCCCAAAAAATTTGGCATTTCTATGGTGGCAACGACTCTCTCTCTCTCTCTCTCTCTCTCTCTCTCTCTTGTTGTACGTGTGCAGGAAATAGATGGAAAAGTATCCTCAGAAGAAAGTAGTCTTGCAACCCACATAATGGTCACAAATGGGCTAGGGTGTGTGTTAGACTTGTGTATTTTTGCTTGGTATGTCTATTTCCTGGATTTTGGTATGTATTATATCCTCTTGTTCCAAATGGTTAGAAAATTTGTTCCTTTTGTTTCCTACATGGAACTCATAAAATTTTGACAGCATTTGGGTGGTGGGAATGGCATTCAGGTCCTGACAAATATTGGGTGTACACTGTCAACCTTTACAATTTCTTGGGACCTTGTATGTCAAGTGGAGATATGTAGTTTGTATATACTATTAACTCATCCGCTAATACTTAATGATGATGAGCCATTTTCAACGGCGATGAACAGGTTTCAGCGGGTCTATGTCAATGACGCAGGTTCACAAGTTTCAAGGAATGCTTCACTCTATGGGCTTCACAAACTCTTTTCGCATCTCTGGATTCGCATCTCTGGGATCTATGGCATCTACACTTTCTAAAACAAGAGCACTTATGTTATATATATATGTGTCAAAAATATATGAGCGTAAGAAATGTTAATCTTAAAATTAACCATTTAGGAATGACATGTAGGCGCACCATTAAAAACTGGGGAAGAAAGATGAGAGGAAGTAAGACTTTATAGACAATAAGTACTTTTAGTAATGAGATTGAAAAAAGAAAAAGAAAAAAGGTTTGGACGAAGTGTACGAGTTTGCAAATGTTAGATGCGGGTGGTGTGCCGCGGTTGTTTAGGCATGTGTAAAGACCATGTTGCATGGGATGGCACTTGGGCCATGTATATTCAATCACTTGCTTCTTTACCGCAGTTTTACAGCATTGCCGGATATTTCCCTCTTCTCCAACTCAGCATTGCATTTTATCTTGCTTGTTCAAGTTTTACCCTGTTGTATGAACCATGCGGTATGAACATCAACAGAGAATCAACATGAGGTGAGGGGTTGGATGAGTGTTGCAAGTGTCTAGTCTAAAATGCTATGGAAGATGCTAGGGTGAGCACGTTAGCTCACAGAATAATATAAACCTAATGGTTCAGATTGAATCTGGGTCGATCTGGCGGTCGAGAGTGTATGAATTTTATAATATGTATATTTGGATTGCATATTGTGTTTTTAGATGGACTACCTATTTACATCTATCTTTAAGATGGATCATATGTATATTTGGATTGCATATTGTAGAAATGTGGTCTACCCCGCATGAAACAATTTTCCCTATCAAAATCTTCTAATTTTTCAATGTCCCTTTTTTTTAGAATAATTCAGTGGGGCAAGACAATAGAGTAATTCAGTGGGGAAGAAAACATTTCAGAGGGCAAGACAGTAGAGTAATTGAGTGGGGAAGAAAACATTATTTCTTCTTTTTTTTAGAATAATTCAGTGGGGAATAATTCAGTGAGCAAGACAGTAGAGTAATTCAGTGGGGAAGAAAACATTAATTTTCTTTTTTGAGAATAATTCAGTGGGGCAAGACAATAGAGTAATTCAGTGGGAAGAAAACATTATTTTTTCTTTTTTTTAGAATAATTCATTTTTTTAGAATAATTCAGTGGGGAATAATTCAGTGGGGCAAGACAATAGAGTAATTCAGTGGGAAGAAAACATTATAATTCAGTGGGGCAACACAGTAGAGTAATTAAGTGGGGAAGAAAACAGTATTTTTTCTTTGTTTTTAGAATAATTCAGTGGGGCAAGACAATGGGGCAAGACAATAGAGTAATTCAGTGGGGAAGAAAACATTATTTTTCCTTTTTTTTAGAATAATTCAGTGTGGCAAGACGATAGAGTAATTCAGTGGGGCAATTCAGTTGGCCAAGACAGTAGGGTAATTAAGTGGGGAAGAAAACATTTGGAACAGTTTAGGAATTAGCTTTTTTTAAGGTGTTAGTAACATATAGTCTCAATGGAAATATGGTCTCAATGGAAATGGAAACCACAATGTGATGACTAGGGTATGGGGATGCTACCACCACAATCCTATCCCATTTTCTAACATTAAGCTGATATTTATATATTGAATAGAGTAATGACACTATGAGACCCTCATATACCTATGTGAGTAGGACCCAAAGATCACAATTAAATTTTGACACTTATCACATGAGTGTGAGACTTGGAAGAATGGATTTATTGATAACTTTCCATCTTTGTGACTATTACTAATAGCCGTTGGACTTTTCCATCAAGATTATCTACTTTTAAGCGTATGAGTAGCTTTATTACCTTTCTAAATATGAAGGAATTTTAAACGTTCCTAATTATTAAGATATTACTTTTTTTAATATTAAGAAATTTGAATTATAAATTTTTATGGAATTGTATATTATAAGATCATTTGCTTATGATACATAAAGGTCAGAATTTTACTATTGGGTTTGAAATCCTATAGATTGATACGTGTCGTAATAAAAAAAAATTGTTTTAGACTTGGTGTCTAGTTAATAATCTATCCCCAGCTATACCATCTCACATCTAACTGTCACAATATTCTAAATGTTATTCTGAAAATATTTAGAGAAATTTGAAGTAATTTTGCTGTGTTAATCTAGAAAAAAGAGCATTTGAAAATAAGTAGTACATTTTCCACAACTTTTTGTATCTTTTAGGTTATGAATCTACAATACTTTTAAATTGTGAAGTAATAATTCAAAATATTTAATGTTGATGTTAAAAAGGAATTTGTGATATTTTAAATTTTAGTAAGCTTTTATCTTCTACATAATATATAGCCCTAATTTGAATGCCCTATGCTACATTGACAGAATTTTTTTTTAAAATAATATAAATTTGTGATTGAAATCGAAAATTCCGGAAGGTTTAACATCCATCTTATGGGTGAAATGATTACGACGTGTTTGATTTCTAAAAGATTTGATTTCTAAAAGATGTGGTTTTGAAAACCGTTTCTTCAAGGGAAGTGGATACCCCAAGTTCCGGGGCTATAGAACCGAGTGTATCGACTTTTTAGCCTTAAATATAAGGTAAGTGGATGCGTGGTATCTACTTCACTGCAAAACTTCCAAGTTATCAAAAATAGAAGTGCCATAGTACTGAAAGAAGCAGTTTCAAAACTCGCCCATATAGTTGACTTCCTAAAGGAAGCCGGAAGACATAATTTTGAAAACACGCACTTCCAAAGGGAAAGGTTTTCTTTATACTTAACCTTGAGCTACTGATCGAGCTTTGTATGTCCCATATTTAGCTTAATTTATATACGCCTATTGTGTCATCATTCCCAAATGGTCGATCTTGTGGCTCCCAAACTGTTTGTTAGGTGATAAGATCTCAACGATTTGAGGCAATTGGAGAGAGAGATAGGGAGAGAGAGAGATGTCTCGTAGTCTAGGGAGAGTTGTCTTATAGTCTAGAGAGAGAGATGTTTTGTAGTCTAGAGAGATTTTTTGAGTAAGTCTAGAAAGAGATATAAGTTGCCTCGTAAGAGAGAATTGTCTCGTAGTCTAGAGAGAGATACATTGTCTCGTAAAAGAGAGAAGTTATGTCGTAGTCAATTGTGAATGTGTTTTAATTTCATTTGAATGTGTTTTGTTTTAATAATGTTTTATATGTTTTTTGTATTTTAGTAGAATTATATATATATATATTGACTGCCTAAGACTTGTTCGATTAGAATGATTGAATCGGCCGATTTACTGATTATGCTGGCTAAATCACTTTCCAACCTATGTCCGGATAACTGTTCCGGTTCAAAGGTGGGTCGGAGCCCAAGAGAGACAGAGTCGAAGGCAAAGGAAAAGCCTAGTTGGGTGACTTTGTCATTGCGTGGAAGAAAAGCTAAAACATTTTATACTGTATGAATTTACTCCCTCGGGGTAAAACAAAAATTCATAACTTAGGCAAGTGGAGCGAACTTTCAAATAATATCAGGAAATGGGATTTTAATACTGAAAATTTATGTGATAGTCTTAACATATATATCCATAAAAACCTAAATTTTTTTAAAATTAATGGCCCAAAAATCTACACTATTTCTAAACTGTGAAATCCTTTTTTTTTTTTTTCGTGCCGATGTATCTTGATGCGGAGATCAATTTGAGGATATTTGCGCACCAAACCAACTTCTTCTGGTGAAAATTTTGTGGTACTTTTTAATTTGATTGTTTAGAGCCTTGGCTCTATATAAGCTTTTTCGAACCTCAAATTCATTTTTTTAAATAATTTAGTAATACCTAGTTAGTTCTCAAAATGTCACTAGGTCTTTTAAGTGAAGGAGTAGTTGAACAGTGTACTCCGGTAGGGCCATAAAGATACAAAGTTCAGAAGTTCTTTTAGGATCCTAATCTGTGAAGTTTCAAAAAAACCTGAAATTCATTTTTTTAAATAATTATCTATAATTCTTAGGTAGTTTCCAAAATATCAGTTAGGTCGGTAGATAAACAGTGTACTCCCTTGGGGCCATAGGGATGGTGGTGGACATAGCGGATCCCGACATAAGTTTCATTCATATCCACGTCATTACCTCACTCCATCACAGTCCAACCCGTTGCTTGGACGGTGGAAAACACGGTTTACAATATAACAAGTTGTAGAAGTAACTAGAAATTTGTAGACAATCCCATTTAATAATTTGTTGACTTAGGAGAGAGAGAGAGAGAGAGAGAGAGAGGGAGAGAGAGAGCTGGTTCATTTAGAGTGAGAGAGAGCTCTTGTTCATTTGATCACTGCACTGTGCAAATGGCCACACCTGGAGAGTGAGTATTTTTCTTTCAATTTTTCCTTTTTTTTTCCCGCACTACATTTTTTTTTTAAAAATATTATCCCTCTCTACATATATGCTTACATTATGCGTGCTTATTTTACATATTTCCAATGCCAATATGCGTATTACGATCAAGGTTAGTTATTTTCTTCGAATCCTGCCCTAATTTTCACAGGGCTTTTGCAAATGGGTTTATATGGGTTTTTTGTTTGGATCAGAACACCCTAGATTTTATGATTTCCAAATATGCTGTTTTCTGGCTCCGAACTCATATTTGTGGTGTTGTCTTAATTGGTTCATGATTCTAGACATTAAACAATGGAATTTGACTTTATGCAATGTTCATGTTCACCAGAATTTGGACAATGTTTTTTTTTCGAGTTGGGTTTTTTATTTTGTATCTGCAAACCCTAGAACACATTTTGCAGTGTTGTCTTAGTAGCTGTTGTCTGATTTATCTGCTTTTCCCTGGCTTCCTTATTTTTTTTTTGGAATTTGTTATTGAATTTGAACACTCAAATCTCATCACTGATCGCTGTCTTTATAGTATCTGATACTTAATTCCAACTTTTTGTTCTTCAATCATAACTAGTACGTTTGGCTTGAAGATAACTTTGTGGTTGTGATGCTAACTTCTTGCTCTGATATTGGGATGAAATAGAGACTGACAATGATCAATTTTAAGCTTGTAGTTTTCCTCGTGAAGTTGGGCAACCCTTGATGGTGTTAATAGCTCTTCATACTTGGTTATTATGTTTAATTTTGAGATAACTATTTGAAAAGGAAAATCGATTTTTATGCCTCCTAATGTCAAGTGGTTATCATTAGGAGGCATTAAAATTGATTTCCCTTACAAGTGCCCATTTTTTGGAAGGAATAAGTGTTGAAACCCACAACCCAAGTTGACACAAGCGCATTCGAGTGAAGCAAAACACTTTGTAGTTCAGTTGGATGCAGCTTGTTTTACTGGAACACTTTGTCTTACAATTTTTTGATCACATTTGAGTTCCAGCTTAGAGAAGGAGTATTAAAATAAATTCAGGATTTGGTAGATCTGAAGTGTAGTTTCCACTGCTGCAATTGTATCTCATGTTAATTTGTTGAAAAAATTGACTATTGACCCATTTCCCCTTGCGTAAATAAGTGCTAAAGATCATTTTGACAGTCTTTGACTTTGTAACTTCTTTATAAAATTGAATCACTTAAACCAGATGTCTTTTTTATATTCATCTCATTGACTCATTCTCCATATTGAGTATGTCAATTATCATTTCACTTGATCGATATAATATCCATACTATCCTCAGGTGTTGTTGCTTGCATGGTTGGCCTTACAGTGCATGCATATGATCTGTATATCTTAGCTTTTGTGTGTGTGTGTGTGTATCAAAGAGTAAATTCTAACTTGGCTTGGGACTCAGCCGAGTGCGAAGCGAAGTGGACAAACAACATGCTTACTCTGAGTTCAAATTGAAAAATCAAAGATTTAAAACACTCGAAACAACTTATCAAAAAAAAAAAAATTCCGTGAGAAATAAGAAAGATTAAGGAAAAAGAAGAGAAAATTCCTACCTAAATGTTTAGAATTCTTACTTCTAAGAATGAGCCAACTTTTTATTTTCTTTCTTTCTCAATGCAATTGAAAATGAAATCCTTGTTCATCTGGTTCTCTCAGTTTTTTGACTTTTTTTGAGAAAAGTTCAACATCTTGGTTTTTTAACTTTTTTTTTAGAATGGCCAACTGTTTTTAACTTGTTTTTATTAACATTTTTTTAACTTAAACATCTCGATTATATACAACTTCAATTTCCTTATAAGACATTTCTCATTCTGGAATGCTATCCGTGAATCAAAAACCTGAACCATTCATATCATTACAAGCCACTCCAAACTCAAATTTCAACCGAGACAGGCACGGAGTTCAAACTTTACATCCAATGTGAGCAATGTTCGAAAAGTCGTCCACCCGACTGCCAAGGTGGACTTTTGGATAAAACGCGTAGGTGTTTTTAAAGCGGACACTATTAGGTGGTCAGAACTAGGCGCCTAGGTGTCCAAGGAGCCCAACTAGGCGGCTGAAAAGATGGGAAAGGCGGCCTGCATGAGTTTGGCGGAAAACAAATTCAAGAAGGGGCAAAATATGTCATTTTACCCCCTTAAAAGGGGGGATAATGGTTTGGGGGGCCATTCTTGCCCCCAAGACCAATTTTAGTGAACTTTAGAGTGAGAAACAAATTGAAAAAAAACTAGATTTGAAGATTTTTTGAGAGATCGAAATTTTTTTCGAAATTGTCGATCACAATGTTCAATGATATTCATCCCCAATCTTTTTGAGGCTTATAGGGGTTATAAAAGCGGAGATTTGGGATCCCAAACATTTTAGTTTGACCCAAAATCGAGTCCACTTCAAGAAGGTTGGTATATTTGTTTTCATTAGGTTTTTGTATTTTTTTTCTTCAATGTCTAGTGATGTTATTATTTGCTATTTGTATTTTTTTCCCCTTAATGCCTAATGATGTTATTATTTGCTATTTGTATTTCAATAGCTTTCATTTTCAATAGCTTTCATTTACAGTCTAAAGGTGTAATGTTTAGGTTTGATATGTGCTTCCGGCATCTTAACAATATATTATATACAAAACGTACTTATTAAATAATAAAAGAGACAATATTATATATAATAAAAGGGGGGGAGGTGTGGGGGATCCAAATTTTTTTTTAAAAAACTAAAAACCGGTTGCTTGCCTAGGTGGCCTAGCACCTACCTCTCCCCCCCCCCCCGACTGCCTAGGTGGCCACCTCTGACTTCTTAAACATTGAATGTGAGCATTGAGGGGGATCAAAATGATTGTATTTGTTGCTTTGCTCGTCATAATCATAGGATCCATTAATGTAATTTGGAAAATTTTGCATCTTGCATGTCAAAGTTACCATCAGTGGCCGAGCTACAATCTCCTCATCTCTCAACCTTTTCGCCTGTCAAGATTGTCATTAACATTTGACTTCCCATGGTCATTTTTAGATCCTTATACGTACCTCCTCTCCATGTTGCTTTTCTTCAAAGTTGCCTCATATGTTACTTATATTATGAAGTCTCCTTTTAACTTTACCACTTTGAATTCTCAAATCCTCCTTTCTTCTTTGTTATCGCAGATAAAACTATTAGCAAATCCTAGTTCTTCTCATAGTCTTTTATCCTTCTCTGAATACATCTGTTTTACCTGTTTGTAGTCCTCTTTGCGTTAGGGTCCCTACATTTATAGTGGTATTAGGAGTTTTTGAAGGCTGGAAAAGTAATTTTCAAATGCTTGGAAAAGGGCTTATGTGACACCATAACTAAAAAGGAATAAAAATGTGACGGGCTTGCTAGTCATTGAAGACTATCATAAGACATGGGGCTTGCTAACGCATGAGTGATCACCGGCAGCCAACAACTAGCAATACAGCCGCATTCTAGAGAGAGAAATAATGGACAAAAGAAATTGCAAGAAAAAGGGCACAAACACAAGGATCTGAGACCTCCACTACCCACCACAAGAGAAAACAAGGAGAAAGAATCTCTCTCTCTCTCTACGTTAATTGATTTTCTTATTCACCAAAAACAATAACCACCCATAGTTGTTGTAAACGCTTGGGAATCAGAATCGTTTTAGGAATCGTAATCGCGGAATCATCGCCAGCTAGACGATTCTTGTCTTTGTAATCATTGTCGCGGGGAATGAGATTTCTAGTTTTTGAGAATTGTGTTTCGACCGAAATAGATCCAAGTTTCATCCACATATGGAATCGAGATTCTGTCCTTGGAATTGAGATTCCCATCCTCCTAGAATCGACACTCCAGGAGTCAAGATTCTTTAATATGTGGAATCGAGTTTTCGACATCTATGAATTGAGTTTCTGACATATATGGAACAAAGATATGTTGTTGTTTCGAATCGTGATTCTAACATATTTGGAGTCAAGTTTCTAAAGTATATGGATCAGAGATCCATGCAGTTTGAGACTGAGATTTACAATAATATGGACTATGGAATGCGTTTGACGACCTTATCAGGAATCAAGATTTCATTTTTATGGAGAAGGAAGCCCCAAGCGCATCTTGAGCGTTATCAACTTTAGAACCTATATTGGATGTCTCTTATTAGAAGGTTTCCCAAATTTTAAAGTGATTGTGTTGACTATTGAACTTATGGTCATTATATACAAAAGATAAGTATTTCTAAATTGTGATTTTGACTTCATTATTATAAAGACAAAATAGTATTATGTCTACGCCATGGTTTTACTTTTAATTATATGTGTCGTATTTACTAATTATATTTTAAATTTAAAGTAAAAGCCGTCTCGGGTGGCACAAGTAAAATAATGAAAACCTGCAACCACTAGAAGCATGCAAAAGAAGATTTCCACTCCAATTTCCTTTAGGAAGTGCACAACCCTCATAGACATTGGACATTATGTACTTTGAATTGGGTTTTTTTTTTTTTATGCTTCGAATTTATTTATTTTTTAATCAAGATTTAATCCTCGCGGGAATCTAGATTCAATATATTTGGGAACGTCTACCCACCATTAATGGGTTCAAGTTTTTAAAGATGTGTTGGATCGAGATTCCGAAATTAAGGAATCGAGTTTCTTTTGTTCTAATGAATGGTTTCTAAAGATGTGTTGAATCGAGATTTCGAAATTAAGGAATTGAGTTCCTTGGTTCCGAAAAACGGTTTATAAAGATGTGTTGAATTGAGATTCTGAAATTAAGGAATGGAGTTTCTTTGGTTTCAAAAAATGATTTCCGTGGAGATTCCTTAACAAAAACGTGAAATCGGGTCTCGAAACCAGAATGACGAGGTCAGTGGTGAGATTCCGGTAACTATGTAACCACCTCATTAGATTGAACGATTTGCTTTTATAACTACCATCTTATTTCTAGAAGATTTCCCTTCAAAAAATAAACAGACCTTTTCTTTTCCTAATGTATAGCTTAAAACTAACGTCCTTATCCCAAGATAAGAGAACTACTCATTCAAAATAAATATGAACTCCTATTGATGTTGAACTCATCCTATCTTTTAAAGTAAGCTCCCTAAAACAACTCTAAAAGATTTTTTCTAAAATATTTAGTAGAATCGGATTCTTAAAATGAACAAACCTCCTAAAAAAAAGGGACTCATAAAGATAATAAGAAAACAACTCAACTTAAAATAAATAAATAAATATTTACAAAAAAGATAAAAAACGATGATAAATCCTCGCTAACGTTTCTTCTTTCAATCCTGATATGATCGCTCCAAATACCCCAGCATGGTTTTATCACCTGCAAAAAAAACTATGGATGCTTCTATTGTTGCGAAAATCTATTTCAAGCAGATTGTTTGACTACATGGCATTTTGAAGTTAATCTCTTTCAACAAAGATGCAAAATTCATGAGACATTTTTGGAGATCTCTATAGGAATTGATGGGAATTGAGTTATGTTTTAGCAGCTGTTATCATTCACAAACTGATGGTCTGACAGAGGTAGTAAATCAAATTTTGGGAAATTTATTGCATAGTTTGGCATGAAACAAGCTGAAGCATTGGGATTTGGTTCTATCTCCAGCTGAATTTGCTTTCAGCAAGTCCCAGAATCGAACTACTCAGAAAAGCCCTCTTGAAGTTGTCTATGGATATAATCCAACAACGTGCTAGATTTCCCAGACCTTATGGAGGGAAATTTAGTGGCAGGGTGGAAGACTTAGTTGACCAACTTAAAGGTATTCAGAGGAGGTTAAGAAGCTGTTGTAGATAAGCATCATTGCCAGCGAGTATTCGAAGTTGGAGATTATGTTTGGGCTACATTGACCAAAGAGAGGTATCCTGTTGGAGAATTTAACAAGCTCAACAATTGAAAGACTAGACTGTGCGAGATTTTGAAGAAGATCAATGACAGTGCCAGTCAGTTAAAACTACCAAGCCATATGAAGAATTTTGATGTTTCCAATGTCAAGCACTTAATTCTTTATATGGAAGATACCTCTAGTGACGAAGAGCTTAACTTGAGGGCGAGTTCTCTCCAACCAAGAGAGGATGCTGCAGTTGAGACGATCGCACTAAAGTATGTAGAGCAATCAGATTGGGATCGAAGGAAGAGGCGTTAGCAAGGAATTATCATTGATTTTTTTTATTTCTAGTAAATCTCTATTTTATTTTTCTTTATGAGTCCCTTTTTTCTTTTAGGAGGTTTATCCATTTTACGAGTTAGTTTCTAGTACGCCTTTTTGAGAAAATCTTTTAGAGTTGTTTTACTGTAAAAGATATGATGAGTTTAACATGAATAGGAGTGCATTTTTATTTTGAATGAGTTGTTTTCTTATCTTTGGATAAAGACGTTAGTTTTAAGCTATCTATTTGGGTAATAAGGGGTTGTTTATATTTAGAAGGGAATCTTTTAGAAATCAGGTGGAGTTATAAAAGCAAATTGTTCATTCTAATGAGATGGTTATTCTTTTCAGAGAATAAGAAAAACAATCAATGTAGAGAGAGAGAGAGACAGGACACCTTCAAAGAGAGAGAGAGAGAGAGAGAGAGAGAGAGAGTACTTCTTCT